GTAATTGATGCTAAGTGAGTGATAAAAATCAAACCTCCTGGAGAATATACCTGCTTTGACTCTGTTTTTGAAGGTCCAAAAACATAAAGGAAAAGAAAATACAATTTAAGAAAATGAAACACACAAAAGCAAAGAAGCAAGATATCTATGGGTGGTTATGATACTTCCCTCACTTGGAACAGTTTACAAAGCATATGCCATCTACAGCAAATTTTCTGGAATGGGAAATAAAAGAATCTACAGCAAATTTTCTGGAATGGAAAATAAATGATTTACAACTATATAAATTTGCAGAGTTCTTCACTAATAACAATAACATCAAATAACATTTTAGAAAGGGTTTTTTTTTCAGCATTTCTATTTAGATAAATTAGAGAGGAAAATGTATGCAGGCAAACAGCTAAATCACATAATTTTAGGACAAAAAGAAATGTGACATCAGATCAATATGTTCATTTAATGATAAAGAAACTCAGGCCCCTAGAGCTAATGTGACTCCTATTACTCCACATTTAAAGTGACAAGAGGATCAGATTATAGAACCAGAAATAAGCGTGAGAAATCTGAAAAATTAGAAAAGAATCAGAGAATTTGTTGATGGAGTCATTAGTGAAATGCCCACTTGTTAGCTATTTATTAATGCCTTAGTATGTGCTAGTTATATGATAAATATCTTATTATTTAATATAAGCTAACTTTTAAATCACAGTAATATGAAATACATTATTCCAATTTTATATATGAAAACCTCAGGGTTAGTATAAATACCCAAGGTTTATCAACTAAATATCTGGAAGAGCCAAGACAACAGCCCCTGTCTGTCTGAAGTCAAAACTCCATTTCTAAAAGCAGCTTAAAAATTGCCTCAAAATTATAAGCCAAAGGGTAAAAATTAAGTGTCAGTCTGGGAAAACTGGATAATCCAGTGTTATCATAATGCTTAATGAGAACTTCTTTTAAATGTTTCTTCTCTTTTCTTATATTTTAGTTAGACTGTGTACCTTTCCCTCAACATATGGTGTCAGAAGTCATACAACGGCCTGGTGATGAGGCTTCAGCTCTGTACTTGCACTTATTTTTTTATCAGATTGGCCTTTCTGTTCCCAATCGTCTGGTTCAGGGCTACTCAACAAAACCAAAAGTCCCTACCCTCCACACGAAACATACACAGGGCAGGGAAGAGATTAGAATAAAAAATTATCTAAAATGAGGGTGACTAGACTGGTTAATTTCAAGTGTTCAATAACTCCTGAAGGGACTACCGCTTCTATTTTGGTATAAGCTACTTATCTTTTAAATATGATGACTTTACTAAGCTTTTCTAAAAGCCTATCACTTCAAAGAGTCTCAAAAATACCATGTTGTGGACGGGTTATCAGGGAGAGAACACTGATACAACAACTCTGTCTTGCAGTTATGGAACTGGATTTGCATGTTAGTGTCAGTGTTTTATAATAATTTCCCTTATTTATCTATGTATCCATCTGGCAGAAATACAAAATAATCATTTCTACACTCTATACTAATCCAAGTACTATACACTTACAAATCATTTTCCAGAACTAGGCTATAAAAAAATAATCTGTACATCCTTAAATTAAGCAATCAATAGTGGCCAGTTGCAACTAGGCCACTGTATGACTTCTGACACCATATGTTGAGGGAAAGGTACACAGTCTAACTAAAATATAAGAAAAGACAAGCAACATTTAAAATGTCTAGATATCACTTTCATGAGGTAAGAAAAAGATCTGAGACCATGAAGTCTGTTCTCCGTAGCCAATGACCAAAGCATAAGCTACTGATTAACGTGAAAGAGAAACAATCAAGAAGTTCTTTCCCTAGTCCAATCTGTCCAAACACACAGGAACTTTATATAAGGTGGGGAGAATTTTAGCCCAGACTAATAGATAATARGGCTCTGTCATCCAACTCCTCAAACAGAAATCTTTCATCTAAATTCCACACCCACCTCAGCATCCAGTATTTGCAGGTAATACAGAAAAGTGTACACCATAACATTTTTGGACATCTGCCAGTAAAGTAATGGATGGYCCTTTGAGAATTCCTGTGATTATCATATTTAGAAGGTGAAATCATTGCCAAGACATTAATGAGCATCCTGGGGATCTCCTATGCTCCATGACTTAGGGGATTCTATGCAGTGTTGTCTGCCTGTATTGACCTCCCATATCTGCCCTAAAATGAAAGTTAAATTAGGCCATATGGCTTAAGGCCAAACAACTCCATAAGATATGCAACATTACACTCAAACAATGTGAAGTCCTTGAGAGATGGGGCCAAAAAATACAAACTAAAATAAGAAACAGAGGTAGTATCTAAGAGAAGGAATATAAAATTGATGACAACTGAGCAACAAGAGCTAAAATGTCCTTAAAAACAATTAGAAATCACAGTTTGATAAATAATCCACTAGAAAAAAAAATATTTTCAAGGGATGTCTAAGATACTCTCTCTCCCACTATACCTTTCAGCACTTCCATACCACCCTTATCACTTACTTAACATTTAGTTCTAGCAAACACCACTCACTGAATTAGCAGGGTCAAGAGGACAAGCAGAAAACACTTCATGCTAGGAACATCTTTAAGTTATTTAGGCTTGTTTACCACCTTTCTTTATAAATTTGCCAACACTTTCACAATATACACCAGTCGGCACCATAGCAACCCAATCCTCTGCCCACCAAAAGATTAACACATATAAGAAAACAGGAAATTCAGCAAAATATAAAGTTTGACCTGAGGCTCCCTTAACAGTTAAATGTCTGAAGTAATAGCAGTATCTTTATATCACACCCACTTCATGTTACCCTTACAGCTTCCTGGCATAAGCAAGTTCTTGGGATTATACAAACTGCTGCTTCTGTTTCCAGTCCAGATTTCTAGAAATGAAACCCTGGAATTGAGGGAGAAAGAAAAACAAATGTTGGCAGAAAGAGGGACGAAAATGCATTGTCTATATAATCCCAGTTTAAGTGGAACAATCACTATTAGTTCCATCAAGCACTGTTTTTTCAATAAAACCACTTACCTAAAAATGCAGATCTAAAACACTCCTTTGGCTTAAACCACACGAAAAAGCAATTTAATAGACACAATCTTACAAATTTTCTCAGATAGAAATAAGGAAGAGATTAACTATAACTTTGTGAAATTCAAATTTGCACCTTATAACYCAAAGTTCAATGGAGATTAAATAAGTAGTGCAGAATGTCTACAAAAAATCAAACCAAATACCTCCATYTTCTCTCCAAATTTTCCCTATTCAGGCCCCCCTTTTTACCCACTGCTCCCTAAATATAAAGTCTGAATAAGAAATAAGAGAGAAAACAGTAGACACTGGTTCACGGAAGCAATTTTAGACCTTCCCACAAGGTACAGGAGATATAGTAGAAACACTTCCATTTTATCTAGTTTATGACAAACTGCTCAAAGAATGCCTATTTATCAAACCCCACTGCTACCTTTAACCCAAAACTACTTCTAGTTCAAGAGCCAAAAAACCCGAGCAAATGCGCAAATACTTTCTTTTCACTTTATTCCCAACATGAAGAAATTCGACCCCTTCCTACATCACAGCTTCTGTGAAACTAACAGAGAGGCCCCTTTGGCCAACTTTTTTTTAAGACTAACCTCCCACCAATTCCCTAAGCAAAGCAGAGGAAAAACCTCAAACAAATTTAACCCTTAAAATCCACCCCTACAACTGTCCAATACCTAAACTTCAAGGTAGTAATGTCTTACACGGACGCTTGATTTTCTTCATCACTTAAGTCTAAGCATCATGCCTCACAAATCATGGCCAAAGAGTTCCTCTTGCCATCCACTGAGGTGCTGGGACCGCAATTCCCTCGAGGACCCTTCATTCACCAACCAAATACTCGACATTAAAAATTCACTGTCTCAAAAGAAAAAGTGTCACCTTCTCCACAAGGACACCTGCCTCTTCAACGCCTCCACAATAGAGGAGGAGAGGCGGGCAAGAAAGGATAACAGACTCTCCAGCTTAAAGTTTTCCTCCCCACCAAACTCTGCGGCCACAGCACGGCGGCCTGTCCTTGTCTCACGGGCTGCCGTGTCAACCCCTCCGTTCTCCCTCGAACATCCTTAGACCAGTCAGTGTCTGACCCATGGGAGTGACTGCTTTTATTAAAAGAAAATGGGAAAAAAAGAAAGAAAAACACCACAGCCGGGTAGTAAGGACGAGGGACCCTGGTGTCCGATTTCTGTCTCTTCCAAGGGACCAGGAGAGTTCTGTCCCTGACCACTAACCAACCCCACCTCCCAATCGTCTAGTCAACACCTTTGCTTCCCTTCCTAAGTCCTTTCGGGCAGAATCCCAGGAAAGGGACCAAACCCCAGTCGTAACAGGAAAATCGGCTTTATCCACCCATTTCTACCTCCCAAGTCCCTGGTCCCGGGCAGAGAAGGCAAGAGCGCGGGGCTAAGCGCAAGTGCCGTCGAAGGCTGCGCCTACGGAGAGGTACGCCGGGGTCGCCCCCATTTCGCGGTGCAGGAGACGAGACTCGGAGAGGTTGGCGGGCTGGCCAAGGTCACGGCGCTCCTCGGGGCCGAGGGGCGCCCGCGCTGACTTCCGGCTCCCCCTCTCCGCGGCGGCTCGGGGCGCCCGCTCCCCACCCGGCCCGCGCCGCGCAGCCTCGCGCGTCCTCCGCGGATGCTCGCCCTCGGCTAACTAGGGCAACTGGGAGAGAGGCGCAGGCGAGGCGCTCTGCAGCGAGCTCCCTCGCCGGGGAGCAGCCCCCAGCTGGTGCCGGTGACAGCTGCGACCTCGGCCCCTCCAGCCGCGCCAGGCCAGGAGGGGAACTCGGGGAAAGTGGGAGGGGGAGATGAAACCGAGAGAAAGGCGAGCAGGGGCGGAGGGCGCCAGCTGCTCCCCGCCCCCTAGGGCCTCGGCGGCCGCGCGGCTCGTGACAGCTGCACCCACCGCGAGGCTCCGCGCCCGCCGCCGCCACTCACCTGCCGCCGTCGCCGCCGCCTCTGGGCCGCGCTCACGGGCGCCGCGCTCGTCCGCGACCGTAGCGGCGCCGCCGCGGCCTCCGCCGCTCCTCGGCCCGGCGCCCAGCCCCCGGGGCCCAGGCGGCTGCAGCCGCGGCTCTCCGGCCCCCTCCTCCGGAGCACGGGTCCCCTCGCAGGGGGATGCAGAACGACCCCARAGCAGGCTCTGCCCGAAGGTGCAGSGGCGAACAGGCGACCGAGGCGCTCGAGGCCGCGGTCCAGCCGTCGGAGGACAGGGCTCGGCAAGCAGCGTCAGTCTCCCGCTCGCCTGGCCTGAAGAACAGGCATTTCAGCCGCTCTSCGCGGCCGCCATGTTCTCCTCCTGCTCGGCCGCCGCCGCCGCCGCCACCGCCCCCCGCTCACGGCCCGCCCCCTCTGCGCCCCGCCCCGCCCCGCCCCGCTCAGGCCGCCCCGCCCCGCCCCGCCCGCCGCCAGCCCCCGCCCGCTCGGCTGCCGGGGCCCGGGCGACTCGGTGCCCGCGAGCTCCGACGGCGCGCCCGGGCCAGCGCGCCCCCACCTACCCGCCCGGCCCGAGGAGCCAGAAGCCGCCCCGCGCCCTCTGTCGGCTGCAGGTCCGCCCCGGCCCGGGTCCTAACGAAGTGTGGGAAAGGAGGCCCGAACTCTTCCCAGCTGGCCCTCCCCTCGGGGCGGTCCTCTGCCCAATGCCGGGAAGCGGCCTCCAACCCCTGGGTGCCCCAGCCCGGGCCGCCCAGCCTGCACCCTCCTGCTGCTCTTTATCTTCCAGGGGAGCCTGTAGAGCGGCCAAAGGCCGTGTGGACCCGGGAGGAGTGGGCTCGGTGCCTGTCTCTCCACTACGGTGTTGTATTACTTTAAGTGAGACACATCCCGCGGGCCTCGTTTTTTATTCTGTAAAATTGGGAGGTGGTTGTCTAGATGATTTCACAGACTGTTAGACAAGGGAAAAGAAAGCTCATCTACTCCCTTCATTTTACAGATGAAAAGATCTGACTGACACGTCTGGCTCTGCAATTGCATGAATTACCCAAAATGTCTGTCATTCATAGATCTTTTCCCTCAAGGGGGGCCCACACCTTTCTTCTTTTCTATCTCCTTTTCTTATTCTATAATGGAAGTGCTACTTCCAAAAGTGGAGTGTTCCTTGTCACTAGAAACATCAAACAGCAGCAGAACAGTCTCACATGCCGTGGTGGCTTTATCTGGAAAGCAGCCCTATCCAAAGGCTGGCATTATAATACCCATCTTCTCCCTGGCCATGRAAGCGCTTTGTAAAGGGCCCTAAATCCTCTTTCCTTTTTCTGAATTCTTGTACCCATTTAGCCATCCTCACCTACCTCAATCCTGTCCTCCTGCTGCTGTAGCCCAACACTTCTGTTTCTTTTCCTGCATTTTCTTCCCAAAAGTAGCCTTTGTAAATCCTTAAGCCCCTCATCCTTCTCCAAATGAACATTTTCTTTGAAAACACCGACCTCCCTAGCACCTAAGACAGCAGGAGATTTCTTCCCCAGGCAGGTACTCCATCCTGCTAGGTTCAGCTCTATCTTCCTCTTCCTATTGCGGTCATTCTCATAAAACACCCTCTAGCCCATAACCCGCATTCATTCAAATATTCCTTCATCTACATATTCATCCAACTGATTGTTGTCAAAGACCTACTAATGAGTCCCTGGGTGCATATCATTAGCTCTGCCCTCATCTGCTTTTTTCTTTACCTTCATTTATTTATTTTTATGTCATGCTGAGGATGCAACCCAAGGCCTCAAATGTGCTAGGCCAGCGCTCTACTGCTGAGCTACAACACCAGCCCCCCTCATCTGCTCTAACACTACCTCTAGCCACCCGCAATAATAGCTGGAAATACACGGGGCATTCATCAGTTCTGTCTCCTTCTTTTGGGCCTAACTTCCCTAGTCCAATCCAGACTRTGTAGAGCACCTTATTCTGACCTCTGGTGGCCAAGAATGAGGCACTTATGCATGGTCTTCCGGTCTCCATTGGTCTCCAATAAATGCTGATTGCCAAATCCTTTCATGTGACCTTTCTACAGCACTTGCCACTGCTAACTCTTTCTTTTTGAAACTTATCTCTCTTCCCTGTCTTCTGCATCTCCTCCCCTKTCTCTCTGCCTGTTTTCTGGACTTTTCTTGACTGCTCCTTCTTTGCTAAGACATAAAATGTTGTTATCCTTAAGCTTTTATTTTTTTCCTTCCCCTCCTCTCACTTAGATTGACTGTTTATTTCCACAGCTCCTTCTGTCAACATATTCCTGAATCTCCTTCTTTCAGTCCCCCACTCTGCAGCCCAGTGTCTTAATTAGCTCTAAAACATCCTCCAGATACACAGTGCTGGTGTTGAATGATGAATGAAATTCAAATATGATTTATATTGCCAGAGCCATCCATGACTTCTTTTCTCCTCTCTCTGCAAGTCATAATCACTTGCCAAAGCATTTATATCACTGTCTTATCTCTCCCAAATGGCCATCTTTTCTCTGGTCATTTTCAACTTCTCTCTGGCTCCATCTGCTTTTACTAACCCAACCGACTTCCTTAACTCCAGCTAACCCCCACCCACCACCAGGAATGCTACATACAAGAGCAAAAGATTCATTAGTAAGATTTACTTCCTGAACCCCACAGTACCCTCTAAGAAATCCATTTRCATTAGCCAAGTAAGTGAATATTTCTTTACTCCCAAAGTACAGTGCTAATCAACAAGTAGGACTGACACCTATTAAATGAAAATGATTTGAAGARGTTTTTTAAAATGCAAATATATGACAATTTTATTTTTGTAGCCCAGATATATAATTCCAGGCACTATCGACCCCATACATTAATGATAATTCTTTGGTAGAATTAAAATGCTAGTTCTATAACCAGGATCTATAACATACTTATTGGGTTTTCTCCAAAGCRTAATAATTTTCCAGTTCTATAAACATATGTCTAGTGTACATGAAAGCACTGAGGCAAGAAGTGACTCAAGTTTGACACTCAAAAAAAGTATTTTTTGTTCTGTAACAATGATAGACTCATAAAATATTTAAACAATAAGCACACAAAAAAAGGGTTTTTTTAAACAACTCAACTAAGTCAGAAAAACATAGTGAATACCTACCTTTCCACACATCACAAACATTCATGTGTTGATTTACACATATCAATATGGTATACGTATTCCATTTTATACAAAAATAAAGTCACATTATAAAGGTTCATTAATAATCTGGTGTCCTTACTGTACAATAAATTTTCATCATTAATGTGTTGAATGGTCTTGCACTGTATAACTCTTCAGTCATTTAACCGGGACCTTGCTAAAAGTGTTTATAGTTGTTGTTTTGTGATTRTCTATAATATAAATATAATAATACTATAATTATTTCCCTCTATGCAGTTTGGAAAATTATTTTCTTTTTTTTTTCTTTTTGGTTGTAGATGTACACGATACCTTTATTTTATTTGTTTATTTTTATACAGTGCTGAAGATCAAAACCAGTGTTTCATGCATACCAGGCAAGTGCTTTATCGCTGAGCTATAACCCCAGACCTTGGAAATTATTTTCTTAAATTCCTAGAAGATTAATTCCTACTCAAAGGGCACATGTTTATTATTTTCTTTTTTTCCTAAATATTCGCCAAACTGATCTCCAAAAAAATTATTCTAATCTATGATCTTCCAGTAAGTACATGAGTCTGCCATTTCCACATATATAACGAGCTCTGGATTTTTATTTTACTTTGAAGAGTCTTTAATTTCTCATTGGCTTGAAGYATAGATATTAAGATTAGATTTAGAGTTAGACAGAACTGGATTTGAAGTGACTCTCCCACATTCTAGCTTTGTGACCTTGGACAAACCACTTCAACATCTCCAAGTTTCAGTGTCTTCATCCATAAGATAGTATGCTTTAGCACTTGCCTCAAAGAGTTGTTGCAAAGATTTAATGAAATAATGTATGTAAAACACTTCCGGTAGTGTTTGACATTTAGGGTTGTCCATGAGAAAGTAAAAATTAGCTCAAACTGAGAAGGTAGAAATCTTCCCAGCTATTCATCAGGCTGGAATAATAGGACAGACAAAGCCAGCTGCAGAGTTAACAGGATGCAGTGTCTCCTAAGGACATACTGCAGCTGTATGTCATAATAACCCCCTTCTCCGAGTGACTACTGCTTTCCTATTCACTGAAAAACTTTGTTCTCTAAAATCATAGATATCAGAAATTTCAGTGTTCGTAATTATATCAGTTAAGAATGAAGCAACCCTTTCCTGCCTAGAGAATTTTAAGTCTTTTATAACAGAGCCGCTGCCTTGATTTTCAACCCAGATGCAGTGTTTTAGATAAAGTGTTTTGGGAGRCATCTATCTTAACTTTATTATTTCTAAACAACAGGACTCTAGGGCTACTTTGCAGTCCAGACTGGATGTCGACCCTTTTTACACAGACATGCTTTACTTTGAGCCTTTCAAAATTTTGCTTTATTTAAACTGCCTTTAAAATCTGCTAAAGGTCATTTACCATCTAGTATGTGTTAATTAGGTATTACATATGCATACAATTGTATTTGGAGCATCTTATGGAATTTTTTTAACATTTTGAAGATATTTGTTAAATTAACTGTCATTAAGCAATTTCAATGGGTTTACCAACACACAATAATGATTTTTGATTAAGTTTTCTAGCATTTCTCTTAGATTTGGTCTATTCTTTATTATTTGGGTGGTAAAACTTTTTGTCCAGGAAGTTGATTTTCAAGCCAAAATAAATAACTTGCTACATTAGTGTTCCATTATCAAAAAAATAGGATCTTTGATCTCATCACCAGATCTTGGTGATTAGTTGATGTAACTTTATTCCTATAATAATTCAACAGGGTTTTTGTTGTTGTGTTTGTTGTACCAGGGGTGCTTAAACACTGAACAACATCCCCAGCCCTATTTTTTTATTTGGAGGGGGGTCTCACTAAAGTGACCTAGGGCCTCGTTAAGTTGCYGAGTCTGGCCTTGAACTTGTGATCCTCCTGCCTCAGCCTCCTGAGTCACT